TCGAATGATTCTATATGACCACTCGAGATATCTCGAGAGATTTTCATAATCGATATAATCGATAATTTTCATTCGAGTAGTCCCATCACTAACTGAAACTGAGATTTTAAAAATATAACCTCTTTTATATGTCCCATATTTTATTATTTTTGGCAAAGTTAACGATTAGTAAATAGTAATCAGTTGATTCTTAATTTAATATTTAATACACAAATAGTTTATAAACGAAGTGTGACGCCAAAATCAACAGTTTGGTTATGTTTTTCTGAATTGAGTAAAAATCATCATAAATGTAACTTCTACTCAAAAACAAATTTTAAGAATTCCAGTAGGATGGGAAAACATTTAAAGAAGTGTATTGGACGTCAGGGGAAAAATTAGAAACCAGTTTATAAAAAAGTCTAAAGGTAGGTAATAAGTAAAATATATCGACTCATATTCATTAGAACAAAAATAATATTTTACTTTGTGTACCCTCAAACAGTAACCTGTGAAAACATGATGTCACTCATAGTTGCCTTATTAGATTCAAGGTCAAAAGTAATATTCCCGACATGTCCATAACATACTTTTCCAAAAAGTNTATTGTTCTTTTCTATTCCAATTTGGTTTTCTATTGACAATAGACGTCCTTAACCAAAAGCGTTCTTTGTAAATCATTTCAGACTGTGTTATTAGCGACGACGTTGTTTCCCGACGATCAACAATCTGTTCTCAGCTCCCGTTAAAAAATACATGTACTTACCCTTTTTCCGAATCGTCTGCAACTAATCTCTTAACAGTAGTTCCTATTGCTAAGATACAGCTCTGAGGGGGATTAATGATAGCACAGAAGTTGTTAACCCCGAACATTCCCAGATTCGAGACGCTGATAGTACCGCCCTGGAATTCCTGCGGTTGTAGCTTGCCCTCACGGGCCTTAGCTGCCAGAGTCTTGACCGTTTTACTAATTTCAGCGACTCCCTTCCTGTCCGCCTGGAACACGATGGGGGTGATCAAACCCCGGTCCGTCGATACGGCCACGCTGACATCGACGTTGTTGTACTGGCGGATCACCGAGTCTAGCCACGCCGAGTTGGCTTCTGGTACCTACAGTCGGTTATTACTTATGAAAGCTGTTTTAATGTTCAATGGTCACAAAGAGAAATAAAAACATTGTTTTGAAAGGGTATGGAGTAATAAATCAATCATTTTTTAATCGTATAGAATTTTAAACATATATGGAACTTATAGCGATTTCTATGCATTAATTTGCCTTAGCAAGGAATTTTTGGCCTTCCCTAATTGTTCTTGGGCTAAGCTCCATGGAGACGGAACTGCTTTCAGAACCCTTAGACCCACTACAGAAACAATATCTCCTCAGACAATAGCAGCCATCTTTTAAAGGACTCGCCATTCATTACTTACGACATCTTCAGACCAAGCAAGACTCAATCATGGCGAAGCTTTTGCAGTGAACAATGGCACATTGTTTGAAAGCACTATAGTAGGATCATATTCGATATAAAGTAACAAATCATTGCCTGTCAAGGCATCCAGTGTAGTACGGTTTTAAGGGGTTTAGAAATTGAATAATTTCTTTATGCATTATGAAGGGATGAAGGGATTAGTTCACGTCTGGCACCCCTATTCCTACAAAAATCCCTTTATTCTCATAAACTATTTATTTAAAAGTAATTTATTATAAATCCAATTTGTTTTTTAAATTCCACATATGTACTACATTTTACCACTGTATGCACCACTGTTGTTTACTTGTTTTTTGGAGATGGTCTCTGATTTACGAACAAGCTTGCCAGGTTAGTATTTGACCACTTCGTACACTCGATGCACCTGGGTGACTACAGCTACCACCAGAATACAGTGCGTATAAAGTGGTATTTCAGATTTTACATTAAATTTCATTTTAAATTTGAAATGGTTCATTTTGCATGTCCTAAAAATGATGACATAATTTTCCTTTGATAAAAGACCAACAATTTTTGCGACTAGCAAGAACGAAAATGAACATCATGGGTTCAAGGGCTCTGATAGAAAGTCCGGAGGCTAAAATGAACTATCATTCATACATATGACCATTCATAAACAGCTGAATGCAAATGATGAATGAGCTGTCATTAAAATTCTAAGTATGAGTGAGATATAACCTACAAAGTGTGTTATATCTCACTTGTCAATGCTACTCAATGTCTATTGACACAAATTGACACAAATTGACACTGTCACGTTTTATTATTCTAACTTACTTACATACAGCCTCACACTCACCTTTACACTTGCAAGGGCCACAGCCTTAATAATAAAATCGTTGACGCTCAACTTGACCCCAGCCTTCTCCA